TTGAGACTTAATTTGTGACCTAACTTGCGATCTGTCCTGGAGAAAGATCCCTGTGCTGATGTGAAGGATGTATATTCTGCTTTTGGTGGATGAAATGTACTGTAAATATCTGTCAAGTCCATTAGATGCCTTGCTCTGCTCTCTATAGTTGAGACTTAATTTGTGACCTAACTTGCGATCTGTCCTGGAGAAAGATCCCTGTGCTGATGCGAAGGATGTATATTCTGCTTTTGGTGGATGAAATGTACTGTAAATATCTGTCAAGTCCATTAGATGCCTTGCTCTGCTCTCTATAATGCTGTTCCCATATTCCATACTTTACGAGGATTTTGTCACTCTCCTGGTGCTCTGCAGCATATTTTGTTAGTTGTTACTGTCAAAATATATTTGTTTGTTTGTTTGGTCTCTTTGTGTGTGTGAGTGTGTGTTGGGGGCGGGGGGAAGACTAGCACCAGACCTCTCTAGTTATCCATTTTGCCTGTCTCTCTTATTGAAGAATTTAGTCTTGAGTAAAACATAGTAGTATAAATTCATTGGTTCATAAGAAGACAGTTGGATCCAAATTATATTTCTGTCAAAATGGGACAAGGCTAAACATTAACAATTTTTATTGGCTGGCCAGTTAGCTCAGGTGGTTAGAATGCAGCCTTGCAACATGAAGGTCAAGGTAGCAGCCAGCAGCCAAAAAATAAACAAAAACAGGAAAAAGAAAAATATTTGCACTGATACATAATATTATGCAGTTTGTATCACTTACCGATACACTGGATTGGACAAAGAATAGTTAACTGTGAAAATGTGACTAAATTATGTGAGGAACTGTGACAGATAGAGTTCTTTTAACAAGGTCTGTAAGGTATTCTCTTTGACTCAATTCTTTTCCTTGAAATTAGAGTGTTGCCTTTCTTTCTAGTATAGGGAAGATGTCTTTTACATGGGAATTTCATGATTGGATTTTAAGAAATAGCATGAAGGTCAAAATGATTTTTTTTTTGCATCTGCCGTTTTTCAAGTGTTTTTACTTAAATAGTCAATATGCCAGAATAGCTGAGGTGTTTTGGGAAAAACGATTGTAACTTAGAGAAAGATAAACAGGAGGAGGTGTAGGAAGAAGAGTAATAGTCTCCAAAGAGGAAGGAGTCTCAGCTGTCTTTGAAACATTATTTTGTAGTGAGGCAGTCTTTGAGTCCTGAATGTATTTTGGAGCCTTGAGACACCATTGAAATATATGTCCAATTTGGACTGCATAATATTATAGCTGAGGTATTAGTTTAGATCTAAGAAAAACAAGCTGTTTGCATGATTTCCATAATGTTTGAACATGTCACTAGCTGCATTCCCAGAAGTGAGAGGTGGGGGATGGGGTGCACTATATTGGTATGCCTTTGAACTTTGAGATCCTGCATTGTAAATAAATCTATCTAGTGGAGTTAGTGCCAAACATGCAAAAGTTGAAATACCAGGTGAGAAAAATGAAACAAAAGAGTAAAATATGTACTCATCAGGAAGGACAACAAAGCTTTCTCTAACAGGAGGAAAATCCTTCAAAACCAGGAAGGTACAAAACACTCATAAATAGGAGACTCAATAAACAAGAGGGAGGAAGTCCTTAATAAGAAGGAGGTCTTATAAACAGGAAGGGGAAACACTCATCCTAAACAAGTCCTAAACAAAATTGAGGAAACCAGGCAAAAGAAAAATGGGAGTTCAATCAAGGGAGACTCACCAGTGGGAAAAAAGGTGACCCACAGAGGCAGTGGGCTCAAGGTGCCAAAGTGTGAGTCCTGGACGCCATACTTCTGGAAGGTGTTGATCTCTCCAAGACAAGTCTGCTTGAAATCCCACTTCTGACACCAAATTATCTCAGCATAAAAGATAGAGAAAGACACATCTCTAAGTAAAAAAGTTTTATTTGGGAAAAATATACAAGAAGTAGGATTGCAATCTGGGACATACATACATAGCAGACTGGCCTCCAGTATGTTCAGAGAACAAAGGAAATGGTTAGTGTTTATTGGGGAAAGAAGGAGATTGGACAAGTTGTTTTGAATGAAAGCTTATTGGTGCTGGCATCATCTCACAAGAGTGGGCGAGTTCTGATTGGTGAATGTCAGTAGTTTCTAGGTAGAACTTATAATCTTGGAATTAGTGGTTAGGCCCTTATAATGCAGACTGGGCTTGTGAGACAGTTTTTTAAACAGGCAAGTGTTCTTGTATAAGTGGTTAGCTTATACTACATGTTTGACTCATGCAGTAAGTTGTAGTTTAAAAAAATTTCTTGTGTTAGTTCCTGGTATCAAGCAAACCCTATGTGAGATCCCTCCCTTTGTGGTCTTCCCAAGCTTCATTTGCCAGGGTTTGAAACAAGTGATTCTATTTTGACTATTAGAACGTTCATGCTTTCTATTATCCCAATCTTCATTCATGCATTACTAAGCTTGTACTTTACTGTCTCAAATGATTCATTGTAAAGTCCTTTTTCTTGCCCTTGAATTCTTTTAAGCAGACATACTTTGATGATCAAAACTCAGGATGCTTTAGACCAATGCTAAACATGTTTTCACTGGCCACTGGTATCTGGGAGTTCCACAGCCTGAGCTGTGTCTGTTTACTTCCTAGCTTATCTTTTCTACACTTTTCCCCTTAGAACACTTTCACCCTTTATCTCCTCCCCCCATCCCGGGAAAAGAAGGCAACTTTTGAGTCATTGTATAAGAAAAAGACTTGGTCATTAGATTTTTAAAATTAAAAACATGCAGTCTGAAAGTAAGTTCCCCGGTACTTTAATTTTAGTTTTCCCTATTCATTTCTCTACTGACAGACAGTGGGTCCAACAGTAGGTTCATTGCCATTTTTCTGTCATTTCTAGTTGTGTGGCTTCTAAAGAAAATAGATTTAGAGTTACATAATATTGTACAGGATTTATAAATATATGGGAAGCACACAGAAAATAGATTTGAAGTCAAGATTCCTGACCTACATGACTCTGGGCAGGTTACACAAATCCTCATAGAAACAAAAATGGGCTAAAAACCCTTCCTTCGTAGGGTTATTCTGAGGATTTAATCAGATAGAGTCTTGTAACGGGGGTTGAGGACACTGTTCCAATGGCCCTCCAAGAAACCGTCCACCCTGGTGTGCTCTCTTCCCTGTCTGCTCTGCAGGTACCGCATGCTTCCGGATCACCACTACCCTTCCATTGTCCGAGACTGCCTGAACGCCTCCATTCACTTCCTGAAGGCCCTGAAAGCCTATGACGTGGACCCCTCCCGGGTTGTCACCTGCGGAGACAGCGCTGGAGGATGGGTTGCTGCCCTGATCACCCAGACCTTGGTGGGCAGACACTACCCTTCCATTGTCCGAGACTGCCTGAACGCCTCCATTCACTTCCTGAAGGCCCTGAAAGGCTATGATGTGGACCCCTCCCGGGTTGTCACCTGCGGAGACAGCGCTGGAGGATGGGTTGCTGCCCTGATCACCCAGACCTTGGTGGGCAGATCAGATCTTCCCCGAATCCGGGCTCAGGTCATGATGTATCCGATCGTCCAGGCGGTCAATCTGCAGTTGCCGTCTTATCAGCAGAACCAAAATGTCCCATTTTTCTCCCAGAAGTTCATGCTGACATGTCTGTGTAGCTATCTGGCCATTGACGAATCCTGGAAGGAAGCCATCCTGAATGGTGCTTATATACCCCCGGATGCCTGGAGGAAGTACAGGAAGTGGGTCAGCTCTGACAACATCCCCCAGAAATTCAAGAACAGAGGCCACCAACCCAGGTCTCCCAGTCCTTTTAATGAGGCTGCCTATCTGGAAACCAAACATATTTTGGATGTAGAAATCTCACCCCTATTAGCGGACGATGAGACCATCGCTCGGCTTCCTGAGGCCTTCCTGGTGAGCTGTGAGAATGACATCCTCCGTGATGACACCTTGCTCTATAAGAAACGCTTGGAGGACCAGGGGGTGCCTGTGACATGGTACCATGTGGAGGATGGCTTTCACGGATGCGTAA